AGGGAAGTAGAGTTCAACTATTTGGGGGCTCACTTGACCCTCTCCTTAGACACCCGCGCGAAGCGCATCGTGGCATTGTCAAGCGTATGCTGGCCCTGGAGCATGACGTGGTCACGTACGTATACATCTGTTGGCAAGGGGATCAGCATGTCGTTCCACTCGGCACAACAACATCTGATGAGGCTGAATTGTTTACCTTTGCCTTTTTGCTTGGCAGTTCTGGCGATGAGGCGCAACGGTATACCGCCATTCCAGCTGGGCACGTGTGGATCGAAGGGGATTGCGCGCAACACTCCACAGACTCCAATCGGTGGGGCCCGTGCCCGAAGGTCTCATCTTTGGGCGCGCCATGGCTGTAATTTGGCCCCCACAGCGCTGGCAACGCCTCACGCCCCACGCGGAGGAGCACCGCTTACATCATCTTAACCCTCGACGATGAGCGTTTGAGGCGTGTCTCCTGTCTGGTGTTGATGGCTTTCATCACATTGTATGCAGAGGCGCAATGCCAGAGTGTTCCAATCCGGGTGTTATCTCGATTGAGCATCGGGTTTGGTGACCCAGGGTGCTGAGCATCAAGAGCCCGTGCGCATGCTTCTGCAGGCGACGACTCGAGTAAAATTCATTTATCCAAAACTATTATCCGTTATCATGTCAGAGTACATGCCACGTCAATCTCCTCTCACCACGGCCAGGCAAATGCCAACGGGCCTAGGCCACGTCTGTCTACGACGAAAGCATGGATCTAAATGCTAGTCGCTACAGCTAGGCTGATTCTCGGCAGCCAACAGCCAGCGTCTCCAGCAAAGGCGGTACAAGACCGGCGTCACCGTTGGCCAGCAAAAAGATGAGCAACTCGACCCAATTGCCCAGCCAGAGGTCCAGTGTATTAGCCGGCATGCGCTGCCAGGCTGCTGCTATCTGCTGCGCCGTGCGTGCTTCGTTGGCCGTAGGGTGGGGGGATGCACATAGGACCGACGACGGCAACGCGCCCCAGGCTTGGTACTCGGCAATTTGGGCGGGTGATAGCGTGCCACGTCGCGAGACGCGAAATAACGGCGCGTTGTACCGGGTACGCCAGACGTTGTGCACAAAATCATGCGCCCGATGGTGCATGTCGGGAAGCAATCGTAGTACCTCGGTGATGATGGTCCAGAGCCAGCGAAGGCGACTTGGCGCATCGGCGGGCAGGGCCACAAAGCCTTGCTGCGTGATTGCAAAAGCCCGTGACCCATGGTCAGTCAGCGTGTCAGTCCATACATTGACGCTGATGGATGTCGTATCCTGCCACCAATGCGAAAGCGTGAGAGGAGTTAGGGCCGATGAGTTTGGACGACAAGGCGCGAGCAACTGCCTGGCCTGAGACTGACACTCACGGCATGCACGTGGTGAAACCACAACGGCGGTAGGTATAGCAAATCACCAGCCTCAAGCGTCACGGCCTGGGCAAAACCAGCGCGTCGCAACCTGCAATGCCAATGGGGACCCCATGGGTAAGTAGGGTATGCACATGCCTGAACACGCGCATCGTGGGTTGTCTCAAGCACAGCGCTTGGTCACGGGAGATGACTCACGCTTCAAAACTAGTGAATGGTTCGGGGAGCACGTTGGTGGCTTGATCGCCAATATCCAGGGCTCGGCCACATTGCGCATGACTGGTGTAAAAAGGGAAATACCGTGAGGTTGGCATGGGCCCGAGGGTCGATGAGCCAGAACGTTTTGCGTCCATGAACTGGGCGTAGAGGTTATGATAACCGCGTAATGGCAGTGCGCGGTAACGCCGGGCTGGCCAAGCCAGAGGTTTATGCTGCTGCGCTCGGGTGCCAGCACCAGCAAGGCCTCCAGACCTGGTAGGGCAGGATAAAGGTCGATAGGTAGTTGCTCAAGCTCTTGACTGAGATACAGAAACGGAGGCTTTGCGATCGGATCCGCCACGGTGGACTGTAGAAGCGCATCGGCTGGACCGTGCCAAGTATCGCTGTAGTTGTTGATGGGGTGTGCCCAGGGGGCGAGCGGCTTGCTGGAGTCATAATACGGGCCAAAGAGCGGGTGGGCATCGTGGGCATAGCCACCATGAATGTGACCCAGGTGCTGTTGCCATTGAGGCAAGGTCCAGTGGCGCGCCGGCCAGCCATTGACCAACTCGGTACGGAGAACCTGCGGTGCCTTTGCGTTGCGAATGGCGGCCAGGAGCTGTTCCAGCGATTTGATTGAGGACCGCACGGGTACGTCGGCGTATGCCGGAGCGTTGGCCATGACAGAGTGCATGTCCTTTGCCCTGATACCTTTATCATCATTGCGCCCGACGCCAAGAAGCAGGCAGCCGACCGCCAGCAGCCCAAAGAGGCCATACCAGGCCCATCGCTGGCGCTGGCCAGCTTCCGGACCATTGGGCTCGCTGGCGTCGGCTGGGTTGATCGTGTGTTCCGCTCTTCTGCCTCTTCTTTGCTTGGGTACGGCCATGGTCGCCGTCACTCTTCCGCCCGTCTTGTCCTGGCGATCAACTAATGGGATCAGTTGACCAGCAGCCAAGGGAAGACGAGTCGTAGTAGCCGTCGTAGTAATAGTAATAGTAGTAGTCGCAGCAGCACAGCAAGCAGCAAGCAGTAGCAAAGCAGCAAGCAGTAGCAAAGCAGCGAAGCAGCGAAACAAGCAGCAGTGTTTTTTTTTTTTTTTTTTCTTCAGAAATCCATAAAATGGTGACAAATGGGAGGAAGGAGGATGTTGGTGGCGGATGTTGATTGAGGGTTAGAAGGAGAGATCGTGTGTATGTGTGTGTGGGAAGGAGGAAAGGAAGAGGGAGGCAGGGAAGGTGAAGGTGAAGGTGTGTGTGTGTGTGTGTGTGTGTGTGTGTGTGAATAGAGAAAGGGAACGTGATCCGTCATGCAATTGGGGCCAAGACACAAGCCAAAAAGCCAAAAGAACGGAATTCACTCAGACAACTCGAAAGTGAAAGATGGACACACGCAGGCGCACACTTGCAAGCAAATGTGAGAAAGCAGAACAAATGAAGAAGAAAAAGAAGGTAAAGCGTGGTGGCGAAGGTCACACCATACACAACAAGAAGCATGACGCACAACGCGCGAGAGCGGCCAAGGACCCAAACGTTCGAGGATCGAGCGGTTTCTGATCAATGGGAAAGAGAAACGCTTGCTCGACACGTCGCGATTGCAACCCGGTTGTTGTGGACGACGCCACGAGGATGGAGTGCACCCGGACAATCCGACATCACACGCAATGAGGGCGAGGCGGGGCGAGGCGCTGTTGGCCACGTGTCCAAAAATCATGCACAGAAGCGCGCGCGCACACGCAAACACCGACACACAGACAACAAGATACAACCACATGCATGGACACACAAGGGGGATGCATAAAGGCCTCGCGATGGGGCTGGAACAGTTGGCAGCCATGACTGATCCCATTTCAAAAGAGCGAGAATTTACATGTCTTCCGGTTGCTCTTGCTGCCTCTTCTTGGCGCGCTTGGCGGCTTGACCACCCTCATGCATGAGGAGACGGGGCAGGCGGCCCTCACCACCAGTGCTGGTGCGCTTGCCCTTGCGCGAGGCTTTCTTGCGCTTACGCCAGGCGCGGAGGAGTTCCGAGGCGAGCTGGAAGCGGAACTCGTTAATGTTGGCACTGGTCACGAGGCCAAACTTGTTGCCAATCAAGAAGGCGTTGACAACGGTGACGCTGAGGACGAGCGCCAGCTGGCGTACTTGCCAACGGCGGGAAGCCCAAGCGCGTTCCAAGTCGCCGCGCTGAGCACGGTGGAGGGTGTTGTGGAGGTCCACGGCGAAGCGGGCAGCGTAGTGATCTTCAAAGGGGGCGTTGCGCTGGAACTCGATGACCTGGCCATTGGAGCGCACGTGGGCCATTTGGCGACCGCAGTGATGGCTGCCGTAGGTGGAGATCAGGCTGCGGACCGACTTGCCGTAGTTGACGGCAAAGTGGCCGAGCTTGCGAGAGGACGGGCGCCAGGTGCCTTCGCGGGCGACAAGGGTGCCGACGGGCTGCTGGGCGGTGTGGGCCGTGACGGCATCCATGTCGGTGAGGTGGCGTGGCCAGCGCTGGCGCTTCTCGACGGGGGCCACGGCGTAGACGCCCTTGGCGGCGAGGTCCATGATGGTATCCACAACGCAGCAGTCGTTGTCAATGGCGATGACCGAGCCGGTACCGTGCAAGGGCTCGGCCATGCGGAGCAGGACGCTGTCCGACTTGCCGCATTCGTCTTCAAAGGCAGGGCGGAGGAGGGTGGGCTCGCGGTCGGGATCCTCAATGAGCTCCATGCGGAAGAGAACGCAGGAATCTTGGTCGACGAGGGCACGGTACTCATCGCCAGATGGGGCGAGGGTCAGGGGCACGTAGGAGCGCGCGGGCATGGCGGCCGAAGTGCGCTTGAGCATGTCCTCGTCCAAGCCAACCGTGTCCGAGGGACGGAAGACGGAGAGCATGTGGTCGTTGAAGCGGGAGACCAGCTGGCGAACGGCGGGCAGGTCACCGGCACCCCGGGCCAGGGAGACGGCCGAGGCGATGGTGTCAAAGCGACGGCGGGACATGTACTTGGAGAGAGCCGGGGTGGGACGCAGCTCATGGCCCGACTTCCAGAGCTCGGCGCGGGGACGAGCATCGCTGGCGCAAATGAGCATGGCACCGAGGAAGGCCATAAACTCTTCCTTGCCAAGCTTGGAGCCCATGCGGGCCGCGGTGGCATCGACAATGCGGCCAATGACGTCCGGTGGCAACAGCGTCTCAAACAAGGCCGAGGCCGAGGAAGGGCGCTCGTCAAAGGCGCCAAGCAGGCGGGCCTCGAAGCGGGCACGGGTGTTCTTGTCCAACAGCATGGGAACACCACGATCGACGGAGGCCCACTCAACGGCATCGGTGGGGGCGGCCGCTGCATTTTCATGGCGGGGCGCCTTTTCGTTGACGCCGCCATCATCGTTGTCGACGGCCAAGTCGAGGGGGTTGGCCATGGCCGGGTCGGCAGTGGCAACCAAGCACACCGTCTCGTAGGAAGTCAGGGCGGCGGGCATGGCGGCCGCCGGGGTCGGGTCGGCCGCCAATTGCTCCAGGGCCGACGTCGCCACCGAGTCGGGGGCCTGACGCTTGACCAGGCCACAGAACAAGGGTTCGCTGGTGGCTTCGTGGCGCAAGCGGTACGTCTCGCGACCGTTACGGACCTCCCGGCCCAAAACCGTTAGATCCCGCACGGAGCCATCGGGGGCAGTGGGCAAGGCTTCGGCAACGTTGGCCGGCATGAGCAGCCGAGACAAGGCCGTCACGCGAGTACCCGGCTCATGCCGGGGATGACGTGGCATGGCTAGTGGTGCAGTGGGTCGCGCTGCCAAAGATCTCACACTCCCTGGTCAGGAGAGCAGGGAACAAAAAAAACCAGAAAAACAGAGAGAGAGAGAGAGAAAAAAGTC